AGGAAGTTTCAATATTTCATCTCCTTTCGAATCAGCTATAATTCAAAATTTTATTGTGACGATAAGTCGAGTTAAAGAGTTGGAAAGGGAAAAAAATATGCCATTACATTGTGAATACAGAATAAAAAAATTTATATTTTATATTAATCCCGCCTTGTTGTTTTCAGTTCTGTTGTGTTGTCTGAAGCGCACGCCGTAGTTTTTTTTATTTGTTTTCGTTTTTTAGCAATGATTATTTATTTGTTTACTTTCAGAAAAAAAGGTTTTGATTAATAACCTACTTTTATTATTTAACGTAATCAATAGCTGCAGTATAATCCTTTACACGTCCGGCAAAACTGCTTACATCACCTGATGGAATCGTGGGTTGACAGGGAAAAATAAAAATGAAATGAATTATTTAATGACAACGAAATCGGGTCGGTTCAGTTTTTATTATTTGCTACTTTAGCTTTAAACGCCTTGTTTTACGACCGATATTTTATTTCAGGTCTGTCCGAGGCGTTCCTAAAAATTTTTAAAAATACAAGAATTATTTTGATAATAAATATTAGCAAAATTTCTTGAAGGGAAATCGCCAAATGAACGGAGTGGTGGGGTGGTGACAGACCGCAATAAAATATAAAAAAAAAATATATATATACTTGGAGATATCAGTAAACTCAATTTTTTCGAAAGTAACTAAATCAGAAAGGATTGTTATCGACAATATCTTTCCAGAGATTATAGAATTAAAAAAAAAATTGAATATATTACAACGAAGATGTTCCTGACAAATTAAGACTAAACCGAACTCAAAAACTTTTAAAATTATTATTTCAATATTGGTTTAAATAAAAAGAAACTGAAATATGCATAAGCATTCTGAGCCTTACAGAAAACGTTTTTGCAAACTTATTTTAAAAAACATTTCTTCCTTCAGCTACAGATTAATTACATTTGTGGAATTATGACAATATCAATTAGTTACCAATGAATTTTCTCTATTTTTAATAAATGAACATGAACATGAACACTTAATAAATTAAAGTATAATATGTAATAAAGCAGCTATAGTATTAACAAATCTGCTATACGATGTCAAATGAAATCAAGCTGAATAAAGATTATTAATTCATTTATGTCATGAAAATATAAATACTAAAACGATTTTTTGTTCATTTATTCAACACGTGGGACTCTCTATAACTGGCACATTGATTATTTAATGTTACTACTAGACCTACGTATGCAAGTAGTTAAAATTTCAAGGATCTAGAAAATCGATTTGGAATATACTTTATACAGTCAATAGTTTCTATTCTATAGTTTTTAAGTTAGATTTCCTTATATTTTAACATTTAGGACATATCGTCAGTGTTGCCCAAAATCGGTCATAGTCTTGCACTTGGCAAGACTAAGACCAAGACTGCCTGGCCGCTGCAGGACCTAGACCAAGACAGGTAAAAAAAATCGTTTTTGTGAATAAAAATTAAGGCAAAATAGTTACTAATACTTGACAAGTTTAGTTACTATGTGTAAAGGGTTGGTATAACCAATATACTTTTGCCTTCCACTCTTCTAATTTTTTAATCGGGCTTTGTTGGGTTTCCCATATCTGAAAAAGAACAGTAATACGCTAATAGGTAACTGCAAGACTGTTGCGAAACACTTGCGCAAGACCAAGATTCGTAAATATCGTCAACAAGAATATAACGATGGAACTATCATAAAAAATATATCGATGCATATCATATGAATATTGTTCAAATACATCAAAATACAAACAGTAATTCGACATAAGTCAAATATATCGATTTCCAGCCTTGATGAGTATATTTTTTCAAAAAATTAGAGCTAGTTTAACATTGAACTGAAGTATTATATTTAATATATTTCTTTATGCCGATGACACGTGTATCCTATCAGTTAATAACGATCCTTTAATTGCATCCCAAACTCTTCAATCACATATCACAAGCCTTGAAGAATGGTGTGAAAATTGGAGAATAAAAATAAATTCCAGCAAATCCCATCAAATCACCTTTACCCTCCGTCGTAAACCTATGAACTCTTGTCCTACAGTATCCTTCAATAATACTCCACTTATTCCTGTTGAGCAAATCCGCTACTTAGGACTCCACCTTGACAAACGACTCACTTGGAACCCCCATACCAGACTGAAACGACTAGAAACCGCCCGACGTTTTCGACTACTGCAGCACTTACTAGACAAACGATCTAAGCTTTCAATCAATTATAAACGACTCGTATATATGACAATAATAAGACCTATTTGGACTTACGGAATTGAGCTTTGGGGCTCCACTAAACCATCGAATCCCTCTCGTATCCAATCCTTACAATCCAAAATCCTTCGTAAAATCCTCAACGCTCCTTACTTTGTCACAAATAAAATCATCCATAAAGACCTTAATGTTCCACACAGGCGGATTTACGGGGGGGCTTTCGGGCTGAAGCCCCCCCCCCAAAATGGTAAAATGTATCCATGTTTTATGGTAAAAAATATTAAAAAATTATGTCTTCAAGTATTATTGCTCGCTTAATTACATTTAATAGGACTTCAAGAATCACTTAAACATCATTTCATATAGCTAATTAGTATCTATCTGTTTTCTAAAGTAATTATCGTTATATATATGAAAAAAAAAGCTTCCGGGCTGAAGCCCCTCCCCCTCCCCAAAATTAAATCCTGGATCCGCTAGTGATGTTCCATATGTTTCCGATCTGGCCCAATCCAGATACCTTTCCTTCCATAACAAACTGCAGAACCATCCGTATCCTCTCGTTTCAAACCTTGCTTCCTCCTCGATCCCTGATAACCCTCCGAGGCGTCTGAAAAGAAGATGACCTCGGGATCTTCTAATATAGAACTTTAATTTGAGTTCTACCAATGGGTAGTTTCTCTTCATGTTGTACATGCCATGTTACAAATTTCTCATTTACTTATTGTATTCTCTATGTAATACAGTTGTAAATTCCATTAAAATAATAAAAAAAAAATATATATATATATTTCTTGAACGGTAGAACCTATTTTGTTGATTTTTTAAACTGATTATATAGGGAATAATTGTAAAATAAGTCGTGGACCCTGTACAGCAATAGCCGAAAGTCAAGTTAGACTACAGACTATAAATGGTAGCCTTATGTATGTGCGTTATCCGTGAGTTTCTGTGGTATGATTAATATTCAATTATATATATATATTACAATAATATAAAAATAAAAATTTGTGTATATATACTAACCAATAAAAATACCACCAGTGAAATATAAATTAATTTATTATCACTGCCTCAATGCGACCTCTTGTGATAAAAAGATTCCCCGCCAATGATCCTATTAACTATCTCACATTATTAAAAGTTACGAAAAAATGCTAAATATAACTTTTGAAAGAATTTGATAATTGAATAAAGGAGAAAAATAAAAATGCTTATCCAGGTCGAAAATGAATTTCCGGAAATACTAGACACAAGGTCCCTCCTCCCAAAATGGTAAAACATACCCATGCTTTATGAAAAAAATATTTTTAAAATGTATTATTGTTTGTAAAACACCATTTCATATAGGTAGTTAGTTTCTTTCCTTTTCGTCGAAGGTAATTATCATACTATTCATAAAAAAAAAAAATCTTTTAGACTAAAGCCCCAAAAAAATTAGATCCGTATGTGTCCCACTCCATCACTCCTTCATATTGAAAAAATGTTTGCTTGACGGACTCATATCAGATAGCTTATTGAAGAAAACATGAGTAATTGAAGACAATTGCAATGATTAAAAATGAAAAATACTTTTTTCAAATTCGTATCTCGTAAATTGATTGATTTACCGAGCCAATTGTGGTTTTAAATTATAGCATATTTAATCTAGTTTAAAAACATAGCGTATGATTCCATACCACAGGTGGGTATCTCGCGGCCTCCTGAGTTACCCACATGAATATAAGTATATGTGTATATTTACTTATAAATAAAAATAGAAACAGTAAAATATAAAAGTTACATGAGTGTTCGTGGCTAATCTCAATCTCCACTGGCTTTAGCACCAGTGACGCGGTTGAGAGAGTACCGCAGAGATCTTTTGGAGTCTTGCTTTTCCCTCTATATATGGTGGGAATGTGTTCATACCTCACTATAATTATTGTGCACGTGACAGATTATTATATTTCTAAATAATTAAATTATATTTTAAAAAATAAAAAAAACTGTGGTATCCATTATCACTGCCCAACCTTAATAAGGTCTCAAATAATAAAAAGGTTCTCTATCTATGCTAAACTACAGCTCGATAACGGGCGGATCATCTTTAAGCTCGAAAAATTCAAAGATGGCAGATTATTGAAATTAAAAAAAAAATGTATAGCAGGAAACAATTATGATAAGCTAATATCCGGGGTTTGGTTTATTGCGTGCCAGAGGTTGGTATCCTCAATAATTACCTGTTGATGAGGTCGCGATGGTCGAGCGTCTTAAAGTGTAAACTGTAACATTCTCGAGCTAAACTTAACCATAATTTGAAGTCATTAAATTTAAATTTAGTACCAAGTGTCATGGCCGCAATTACACTTACAATTACAGGCATCGCTCTGTCTTTGTTTCCTTTTCATCAGGTTAATGCTTCAATTACTGCTGCTATACAGTGTTAATAGTGTGCTTTTGTACATTTGAACATTTTCACATTAAAATATTGAGGTGAGAGACATTTATTAAAAATTATGTTGACTTTATTGAAAGCGTATGGTGAAATGAAAAACTTTTATGAGAGACCAAAATAACGGACCTTGAATAACATCATAAACAATTGATGAAAAATAATTAGCTTATCAACTGTTTTCCTCAAATTCAACAGTATGAATTACTTCAATCAATTGATAAACTGCATAATTCTTTCACATCTTAATTATATGAATCATAATTAGCCTACGTATCTCGTTTGATATTTGGCAATTCACAACATTTTGTAGTTCCTTAAATACTTACATATTTACAACTTAGGAAAAAGAAAAAAAAATGAGACTGACACCGCAGGAAACCATGGTAACCATGCCATCGGGAGCTAAAGAGGACAGCCGTCCATTCTTCGTGGTCCATCCAATCGAAGGAGTGGTCACAGAACTGGAAGACTTCACGTCTCTGCTGCCATTCAAGGTCTACGGCTTCCAATGCACCACTAATGTGTCTGATGACTCTGTAGGATCGATGGCATCCACATATCTTAAGGTAAAACATCTTTTCGGCTACTCCCACTAAAATATAAGTAAGCCTGTGTTTAAGATCTATGTTGAACTTTAATTTTTTTATTATTAATCTTATTATTTCCCATTTATTATTTTTCTATTATTTAATTTATTTATATTTTCAATAAACATAATTTTAATTAATCAGGGAAGGTTATGATCTTTATAGGGTACGATGTTTCAGAGTGCTGAGTGTTAAAAGTACTGTCCTATTAACACGAAACTAGCAGGTACTTTAGCAAATTTGAGGCCCTTATAGTCGAGAGTGTCAAAGAGTCACAACTCATTGGTCACGACTTTAATTTCATTGTTGTTTGATAAATCTGTAATAATTAGCGAATTTTTTCATTAATTTCTCCTAAGCTAGGTAACTTAAATTAAATTATCCACACATCGGTTCCACCATAACCTCAATGAATCAACAACGATTGGGAGTAGACCAGAGTATAACAACAACAAAAACAGCTTTCTTCTTCCTTTCAAAGATATTAAAATTCCAAAAAGTCTCAATAAATACTAAATTAAGAGTTATCATAACGATACGATGTAGACAGGTCTGACACACAGCTGTGTGACCTGGGCACTAACCAACATCCTACAAAAAAGTGTTGAAATATTTGCGAGAAATCGTACGATAACCGGAGCGATCTAAGATCAGAGTACTAATCCTCGGAGGATTGATAAACAGAAACTAGCCAATCAATGTCTTGGCATAAAAATACGAAGGCAAAGAGATTAAGATGGGTGGGACATGTAGCACGGAGCAATCCCTCTGGAAATCACGAGAAAAATAAAAAAAACAGATGAATATATCGAATCAACAAAGATGTAATAGAGCTGCATGCAGATAACTGTAAAGAAAGAGCCCAAGTTAGGCTGAGATGGAGAAGAAAGCTGGTTAATTCGTTAAAATATCAACAAGGTCTCTAATGGTAACAGAAAAAAAAAATGGTACATTAATGTTCAATGGAAGAAAATAACAGTTTAATAAATTAAAGAAATCCTTTTCCAAAGAATACAAGTAGGGTATAAATGCCTTTATACTAAATAGTATTATAATAGTATTTAAGAGATTAACTAGAACCAAGGAGATCAAGCGATTACGGAAACAAATTGAAGAGATAGGAGTACAAGTAATATTGAATTCCGTAAGACAGAACGTTTTCACAAGTTTTTTATGCTATTTCCAAAACCATTAGGAATTTTTCAATGAATTAACGTTGGATTAATAATAAAGCTATCAAAAAATAAAAATTGTAAACATTGTAAAGATATTAGAACAAAACAATTTTTAAACATCAAATTGTATATTCCGTAAATATTAACATAAAAAAAATACCAAACAACAATTGGTAATTATTTGTCATTTCAGTAACAATATTCGAGGTATGGTTAGAACGTTGGTTATGAGCTAGGTGGTTCATATCCTTGCTCCAATTGACATTTACAAAACTGCAGTTCTTTAATTCATTCATACCTCCTAGGCAACTAAATTAGGACAAAAACAATTGAGAATAATTCACAATGATTAAATCGATGATGGTTATAATATATTTAACGTGAAGTGATTGTAATAAAGAACCCTATGGGTTCTAATGAGTTAACAATCTGTACAAAGGGAGCATTCTTGATTTTTTGAGAATGTATTGCAGTCTATGAGAAAATGGAAGCTGTCTATGCTATAAAACTGTTCAAAGTATTGTATTATATATATGGTAGCAATTTCTTAAAGCTCGCAATATATATATTTTTTATTTTTTTTGGGGGGGGGGGATGGGAACGATCCAAGAAGGCAATACTAGTAATATGAGATCGGGTTCCATACTCCATCATAAGGACACTGTGTCCCTGCATCTCTTTATCCGTCCAGGCTCTTCCAGTCCTTGCAGTTCTCTCGACCTGAAACTCTTCCAAACCTCCAAGCATGGTCTGAAAAGTATATCTGTTCAACTTCTCTTCTCGGAACCTTCCAGATTTTGAACCTACCTAAATGTTTACGAAATTTGCTGAACCATACGGTTGTTTTCTTCTTTTTCCACAGGAAATCGAATATCCTTTTAGATAACCTAGTCTTGTCCATTCTGAAGAAGTGCCTGAGAAATTATAGCCTCCTCTTTCTCATATTTCTCCTCTTCAACCAGGATTGTGCGCATAAATTTCCGTAATATTTTTCTTTTCAGTATATCCAGTCTTTCCAACTTGTAATTCATCTTTTTTTTTCCTTTAAGTTTATTAATTTTTTTATGGGGTTGGAGTTACGAGTGCTATAATTTCTTTTCTTATATTCTCAGCCTAAATCACTGTCAAGAATTCGAGTCAACATGAAAAAAAAAAAAACAGGCCAAAACTATTTACAAGGATAACAAGTAACATTAGGTTGTTTACTAAGCTTTATATAAATACTTTATAGCTGATGAAGGACGTCAAAACCACCGATCCGATCTTGCTCCTTGGATACTCTTTCGGGGCATCAGTAGCTTTCGAAATGGCGCTGCGGTTGGAGGCGGAGGGTCGCAAAGTGCACCTCTTCCTCATCGACGGCTCTCCCGATTTCGTGAGAAAGCGGACTTCGCTCTACAGGGCCAAGATTACCGACGCCGACGAGGCCGATGCCTTCTCCTATTACATCACTCTCTTCAAGACAATAGACCACAATGAGTATCAGAAGGTAAGCTATACGAGACGAGCTGAGGCTATTACTCACGAGACTGATGCTGTAAATAATTTTATTTTCATTTCATTCAAATTTACTTATTATCATCTACAATATAACTTCCCCCTCCCTCTATCACTACAGCGCTAATCTTTCATTATCTGAAACAGTGCTTGAAGTCTGCCAGCTTCTTCAGGACACACAGCTCCTTTTCTTTCACAGCTTCAACGGATTCAAATCTTGTTATTTTTAATGCAAAATGACGAATCGTATTTTTTAAATGATTACCTTGAAATGAAGCGCCAATCCATGCACTGCAAGAGTCCAACACCGAGAGACGAAAAAGCTCGAATGAACAAATCGAAATTCAATATACCTGCAAGTCCTAATATTGATCAACATTCTTATTGGGACAGAACGGCACGTGACCCGAAGAAGCTGACAGGAGACATCCATCACTGATTCAACCAATGGAAGATTCGCATGATGCGTTGTTGGGATAGAAGAGGGGTGTATATTGAAGTTGATAATAAGTAAATATGTACGAAATATAAAATGTCATAATTAATAGCCGCACCTCGTATATTAGTTTTTAGATAATTTATTAATTAATTATTTCAGATTCAACAAGAATTCAAAGCTCTGCCAAATATGGAGGCGAGGCTGAGCCTTTGCGCCAAGAAACTGGAAGGAGAAGGAGAGTCGGAGGATGACATAAAAAAGGCAGCACAGACATTTTACAACAAAATCCTCGCCGCAGAGAAATACTATCCTTCGTCTGTGTTCACAGGAAAAGTCCTCCTCCTCAAGGCTGATCAGAATTTTGTAGCTGCAGAAAAGGATTACGGTCTAAAGAAGGTATTTTTCTGAAAATTAGTATCTTATTGTTTTGTTTTTTTTCTGTTGGCGTTACAGACCTTGTAGATCTGTCGCCAACTTAACCAACATTCTTCATCTCTGCATATCTTGGACTATTTCTTTCAAGTTCTATGGCATCTTTGTTGATTCGATCTATCTATCTGTTTTTCCACATGTTTTCCAGATGGATTGCTCCGAGCTACATGTCTCACCCATCTTAATCCCATTGTCTTCATATAATGAGATATTGATCGACCAGTTTCTATTTATTGGTCCTTCTCCTCCAAGGATTAATACTCTGATCTTGGGTCACTCCATTTATCGTGAGGAGGATTTTTTTCTCAAACCTTTCATTACTTCTTTCTAGAGTGCAGGGTAGTGTTCAGGTCTCACAGCTGTATATCTAAACTGACTTAATTATAGCATTGTACACTCTTAATTTGAGATTTCTTGAGATATTTCAGGATTTTAATACCTTTGAATGAGAGAAGAAAGCTCTATTTGCGCTTAGTTTACACTGGTATACTAAAATGGTATCTATCATGCTGGAAATTAATTGTATATTTTAAAAAAAATGACAAAAAATGTACAGAAATGAGAGACATTTTCAATTAGTTATATAACTGGAAATAGTCAGGTACTCTGTCGGAACATTATCAACAAATTGTGATGACTATTAATTGAATGCCAGCCTTTCAAGCTATATTGTAGTTCATCAGGACTTAAAGATGTAGACGTCACTCATAACATAACTTATGAAATAGCAAATTTTTATTAATCAGTGACAATATTTTAACTATTGAGGTTGAAAATATTTCATATATCGTTTTCTATTGTAAGGATTTTAAGCTTGAGGTAATTACTTCATAGTACAGTACCAGAACAGCATTTCATTGCCACACATTCTTTGCATTGCAAACGTTCTATTTCGAAACAGTTTTAAGGATAGTAGTAATAGGAGATACAAGTATTCAGCATCATTTTTTTTTATTGGTTTACACCTGCCTCCACTCACTGAACTACAAGTACGAATCTGTAGGCCAACAATATAAAACAAGTAGTTACATCAATTTAAAGCTCTTGCGTTAAAAGATTCAACAAAATCAGAGCCAACAATTTTTGTTTCATTTTTTTTTTTAATGGTTTTAAGTGAACAAATTTAATGGTATCAGTATCATGAAAAAATTTTTTTTTATATAAATGTGAATTGATGAAATATCTTATAGAATCAGCGCTGTTTATATTTGTACTCTTTTTTTTTAATTTAGGATTTTTCTATAAAACAATGGATTTCCTTAAACTATAATTTTTTTAAAGCCTACTTCCATATTTTTTCCTGTCGAGGATCCATTCCTCTCGCAAACTATGCCCCATCATAAAATCTTCTATTTACTTATTCCCGTTTTACTGGGTCAACATCGTCTTCCTACGCCAATTTATCAAAACTAAATCTCCCTTCAGGCATTCTTATTAAATGTCCATACCAACTGAGCAACTTTTTTCGAACTCTTCCAGAATATTTTGTATACCTCCTTCTTTTTTCTATTTTATTCATTTCTTATTTTATCCATTATGAATAATCTTTCTGATCATCACCAAAAATCCTTCTTGCCATGAGTTTCTTCTTAAGTTCACTCTTTATGGTCCAGGTTTCTACTCTGTATATCATAATGCTCAATACTTCATAAATATTTCGATGAGTGAACAAACAGCTATATAATATGGAAATATAATATGAAATGGAGGAATTATTTTTTTTTCCTTGGTCAATTAAAATAGTGTATTCAAAATAATAAAACAAAAAATGTAGAAATTACAATAGGTTGTATCATGGCAAATAATTATCCAATTTTAATTTTTTTTTTCTTTCAGAAGGTAATTTACAAACCTTACAAATAATCATAGGTGATATCAACTATAAACTATAAAATTTTTGAGTAATTTTACTTTTTTTCATAACTTTTTTAATGAAATTTCTGAGGAATACGCAGGTACATAATATCAATTTTGATTGGGGTGAGATGAACCCCTTTCTCCCAAAGAAGTCTTGAGAGTTTATATTATGAATAAAAATTATGAGTGATAATTAAAATAATCAACATAAGTATTGTAAAATGAACAATATAATACATTTAATAACCTTGTAAATAAATTTAGATATGCTCTTGTTATAAGGATGGCCCAATAATTGGATTTGATGAAGAATCAATGAAGATACATTGCACTGACAACAAAATATTTTATTAAGGTTCCTACTTCATAATATTGAGCTGAGCCATTGATCTAATCTTCTTGACTTCTGTGATCTTTATTTTTATTTCCAAGAAATTCAAAGAGCTAAATCCTTTTCAGTTTTGATGACCAGCCCCCTTTGTTCATATAAATCTTTTAATCTTCTGAGCCTATACCATCATCTTCTGTGTCCTAAGCAGTGATAGCTTGGTGGTCTGCAAACAAAAGTTATAGACCAATACTCTCAAATGAAATCCCATGGGTTAACATTTTTTTCTCCATTCTATTAAATAGATTACAAGAAGAATCTTGATCTATATCACAAATACCTTGTCAAAATCCGCAACGAGATCATAAGAAACCAATTAGATCATGAATTTAATGATTCAAATGACTGTAGTGGACTTACATTGCATAGATCATATGTTCACATAAGGCATTTTTCTTACCTGCTTGAGCCTTATAAAAATGGTTGTGACAAATTTAGTGAGTCATAGACCCATGGTGTCTAGACCTAAAATCTATCTTTTTACTAATTTAAATAAACCTAACTGAAATTCTCAATTAATAACTCAATCAATAATATATATTGATCAACTAATACCTTGCCTATTAAGTATCATTGCCTTCCAAAACTTGGGATGATTTCTTCTATTTTAATTTAAAAAATAATCATTTTGAATTTCAAATACATCTATTTGAAATAAAACTAATAAATTATTTTTATGTTATTAGTTATGCAAGGAGGTTCCTGAAGTGTACACATACAAGACAACTCACAAGGAAATCATAAAAATTCCAACGGTCAAGAAAATAGTGAACAGGATAATCAATGCATTGAACTCATAATTTGTACAAATTGAAAGTTCTTTGAAAATTAAAAAAAAGTTAATTTCCAACACATACCTGAAAACGCTCACTACTACTTTAGATTTCATGAAACAAAAAATTTAATGTTTTAATTTATTTTGTTATGTAAATAATTTTAAAATATAGTTTTAAATTATTTCCCTGTTGTTTTTGTAATATTTTTTAAAACATTCTTTATTGAGAAGTGAATATCCAATATATTTTACCATGGTAAATTAAAATACAATTTAACTTTTAAATGTAATTTAAATCTGACAAGTTTTAGTTTATCTATCTCTTTTCTTTTTACATCATTAAGGACCGAATACATTTTATCGTATACCACACAAGAACATGCTCATTTCGATCCCACTAATCTATTTACAGAGAACCACCAATATCATAATTATAAAATTAGGAATAATGTTCTTGAAAAATTTCATTGAATATATCAACACTTATTAAATAGAAAAATTGATATTTTTTATAATACTCATTTAAAATAAATAATAATTATAATTTAGTAGAATACTGATCATGGGCGTATGCAGAGGAAAGTCGTTGCACTTTAAAAGAAAATAAAACATATTATAACACAAAATATCAAAAAAATTAATTTTTGTAAGTTGTTCTATATATACATTGTATCTCTCTCTTATATAAAATAGTTTTTAGTGACTGTGTAATATTTTATTTTACTAATATAAAATCATTTTAGTACATTATTGTACCTTCTTCAATTTGTTTAAATATTTTAATTATATAACTGCTTCGTTTTCCAGTGCTATCTCTTTTTGTAATTCTTTGCCTATCTCTTTTCCTCAATTCACCTCCAAATTTTCTTTTAAACAGCACTTCTTTCTTCTCTATAGGATATTTCACTATAGTGCTTTGGTTAACATTAAGCCAGACAATTGTATAAAAAGTCTGAACATAGTATTATTATTAGGGGACTTTTGACACATAATAAAGTTATTTTATCACTCATTGATTTAATATTTTTTACCTATACAAAAAACAATCTGGCGCAGTATGCACATTACACAATTTTCACTTACCTTCCTTTGTTTTTAGTAAAAAAAGATTTTCAGACAAATTGGAGTGAAAGTAAAAGTTATAAATGGTATGAAATGATATTTAAAACAATTAACTATCAAGTTTTTCATAGCTGTATAATGTATTATATTTATGTTTTTTGTTGCACTTGAAAACAAGCATTATTGCACTGGTGCCTTTCTGGACGTAGCACAAGCTTTCGACCGGGTGTGGCACGATGGCTTGCTTTTCAAGCTCAAAACCCATTTACCCCAATCCTTATACCTAGTCCTCAAATCCTACCTCTCAAATCGTTCATTTCAAGTCCGTTGTGACTCCGAATTTTCCACTTACTATCCAGTTGAGGCTGGTGTTCCACAAGGCAGTGTCTTGGGCCCAGTTCTCTACATCCTCTTCACTTCCGATATCCCTTCAAATCCCGATACATTTCTAGCTACATTTGCTGATGATACTGCCATTCTATCCTCCCACTCAGATCCTCAAATAGCATCTCTAAACCTACAATCTCATCTCTCCTTGATTGAGCAGTGGTGCAACAACTGGCGCATCAAAATCAATGAATCAAAATGCAAACATATCACTTTCACCCTGCGACGCAGATCCTGTCTGCCAATCCTTTTTAATTCAATTCCACTTCCCTACTCAGACACAATCCGTTACCTTGGCTTCCTTCTTGACAAAAGACTAACTTGGAACCCACATACCAGACTTAAAAGACAAGAACTTAACAGACGATATGGCCAGCTGTATAGATTACTAAGTAGGACATCCCATCTTTCGATTGAAAATAAACTTTTAATCTACAAGACCATACTGAAACCTATCTGGACCTACGGACTTGAACTGTGGGGAACTGCTAAACATTCGAATATCAAACGCATTCAATCCTTCCAGTCCAAAGTACTTAGAACAATAGTCAATGCCCCATATTATGTCACAAACAAGACCCTACACCATGACCTTAACATCCCATTTGTCCTCGACGTCATCCCAACCAGATTCTCAAACTTTCACCAAAACCTTATCCATCATCCAAATCCTCTAGCTCAATCCCTATCCAGCTCCCTTCATCCCTACAATCCTCCACGAAGGTTAAAACGGCAGTGGCCCAGAGATCTCTTGTAAATATGCTTCTGGAGTCCTGGCAATGGCCAGCTTCTCCACTCATGTCCCGAGTGTCTGTGGCTCTAGTGCCCTCTTTCAGTCTCCATTGGCTTCTAATACTAGTGATGCAGCTGGAAAAGTGGCACTGGGATCTCCTGGAGTCTTGCTTTGCCTTCCACATATGGGGGAAAAAGCCTGGCTCGGAGATTCCTGAGTGAATGTATATATTGTATATAGGTATGATTGTGTTAATAAGTTTCTATTTTATGTTATTGTTTACTTTTTTTTTCTTTTATTTATTTTCTTCATCAGTATTATTTATTTACTTTTTATGTTTATATTTATTTCTCTATTATTTGTATATATTGTTTGAATGAGAACTCTTAGCCCTAATACTTACAGCCCTCCAGTGGCTGATTGTATTATTATTCAATAAATAGATAAAAAAAAAAAAAAAAAAAAATGTTTTTTGTCAATAAGCATTTCCTTTTACGACTGTATATTTTAATTATTTATTTGATTATGATAAATATTTAAATGCCACAAAATATTTTTAGACCAACAAGAGTGACACTGATAAACAAAGCCGCTATAAATATAAATATTTATATTTCATTTTAGGTATTTTTACTTGTATAAACATCGGTATATATACAAATTTTAATTTTTGTATTGCTGCAATTTAAACAATTAAATATTAAATAATACCAACTCTAGCATTTATGAAAAAGACATAATATTATCGGAGCTGGTATTATAAACACGTATGGAAGCCTATTCTAACCTTTTGACGAAGCTCTGATTTCTTCGGTCCCTCTATTACTACTATTTAGTTATAATCCCTTATTTCCACTTTAGTTAATTATCAAATTCTTTCATTTTTTTTATTTAACAATTTTTTATAGCAGATTCAAAGTGAAATGGTTAATATTTCAAATAAAAGATCATAAAAGTACTTTAGAGAAAGAAATTTTGAAAATTAAGAATTAGAGCTCTGTTTGAGAATAAGATCTACACTATATTAAAACCTGCTTAAGTTTATACTAATATAATGAATTTAATCAAAATCATTAGCAGTTTTCGAGAAAATTGTAAAGATGTGTAAAATTAAAGATATAAAGTGGCACTTCAGATTAGCCGACTTTCAGGAAAAAGTTGCAGTAACATCCCAGCCATATACATTACATACCTTAAATATGTAAAACAGTTTCATAAAACTTTTCATTTTTTGAGGTAGATTGTTCACATGCAAACAAAGAACACTTGGGACTTGGTTATTTGGACTCAGAAGAACTCAACACATGTATTTCCGTTGATAACAAAAGAATTTTAATGTAGCAAAAGTTTTCATACATATTCATATTTATTTTAGCCAAAGTTTCAAATTAATATCTTGAACGAAGTACTTCGTCTTGAGTTTCATTTTCATTTGGATTATTATATAACAGTCATTATCATGTGTGAAAAGCAAGGGACTAAGGAGTGGTATCCTGATAAAATTTGAATGTCAGTTCTATACCCATTTTTTCTGCACTAACATTAACAATCGACACTTTCATCAAAGAGTTTAAGAAAAAACTTAAAGGTTATTTGAGTGATGTAATATATTCTTATGGGAACAAATTTAATTTGTCATGAAAGGTATAGGTGGTAGTGTTCTTGTGAGGGGGATTATGTCTGCATGCACAGTCGGGACTTTGGTTTTTATCGATGTAGTAAGTGGGAAGAATAAATTTAAAATGAAATTTAAGGGCTGGCAAAGTCAAAAGTGGACATAGAACGAATATTCCAATTTTATCAGGATAATAATCCTCAGTCTCCAGACAAGGGAATGGCTGTTATATAATGATCCAAATGGACATGAAACTCCCCTTCAGAGTTAAGATTTAAATCCTATCAAATACTTATGAGTTCATCTCAACCCACAGTTCATAAATGAAAATACAATGTCAGTAAAATTGATTGAAATTAAATCATTGGAAAAATGGTATTAAGTAGACTGCATTCAAGACATTGGTACTAGTTCACAAGAGTTCCACACGGATTACGCATGGTTCACAATCACTTCGGTCACACTTGTTCATGGAATCCCGAATGCCTTCGGGTTTATCCGACAGAGAACGAAGGCTACCAATCTCTTGAATTAGTTACGATTAACTTTCCCGCCAATTAAGTACTTCTATAACCTTAACCATGTTCAGTTATATTGATGTTATTTAAGGTATTGACTTAAATTCGAAATTTAGACTACACATTATGAAACCTGAATCGAACATGCATATATATTATATATATGTGAAAAAGGAATATTAATAGATAAAAACATTTAATTATTACATCTCTGAATGCTATTTCACAATATTTTTCTTATTTATGATTTCCATTATTCATTATCTCGGAATTATCAGATATTCTTCTTCAGTTCTTTCCTCAATACGTTAATTCCTTGCTCGAAAATAAACACGATTTTTTTTATTTTTTATTTTACGAATGACTACAATAATCGCCATTCGGATTATTTATTATCCAAATGATAAAAAACTCTTTTATACAATTTATAATAGATAATATACAACAGTATATGTGTATTTATAGCCACTACATATAAGCACGTGTCAATAAAAATTTTATTTCTAAAAGCATTTTTTTTTCACAGGCCTTGAAGAAAGACTCAAACATTATTTTATATATGTTTTCTTTTTCTTTCACAGTAATGACCATTATAATGCAAATTAACAATTAACTAATTAAGTAAATACACAATTTGTTAATACATTTTTAATAAGGAAGTTCCATGAAGGGAATACGTTTTTTTTTCTTTCAAAGATGCATTAAGAGGGACAATAGCTGACGTCATAAAAGACGACAACATTCGGCTGTTTTCGGGATTTCATGAACAAGTGTGATCGAAGTGGTTGTGAACTTGTACCAAGACATTAATTTAAAACTTTTCACTGAAATAAATGCACAAATTCTCATGATATAAATATATATGAAAATATAAACATACTGCATTAAAATTCTCATTTTAAACAGTGATTCAATTATAAACCATCAAAATCTGATGCGTTTCGCGCATCACACAACTTTCACTTACCACTCTTCTTAACAGAAATAAGTATTTTCAGACAAAGGGGAAGTGAAAGTAAAAATTATTAACGTTATATTGATTTATATTTCATTCTGGGTATTTTTATTTGTTTAAGTATCCTCATATATACAAAGTTTAATATTTATATCATTGTAATCTATACAATTAATTAAATATTAAATAATACCAATGAAAACATTTAGAAAAACCGTATATGTATATGTACAAAATATTGTTGAAGTCCGTATTATATTAAGCTCATGTTACTATAGAAGCATGTTCTAATCTTTGGATGGGCTCGGGTCCCCGTATCGCTTTGGTTCCTTCATTACAACTATTCTCTGTTATGATCTCTTATTTTTCCTTCAGTTTATCATCAAATTCTTTCATATTTTATATTTAACTATTTTTTATATTAGAGATTAATGTGAAATGGTTATAATTGTTAAAAAAAAAAAATTAAAGGTACTTTAGGAGGAAGCTAATATTAAAAATTAGCCATTTAAGCCCTGTTAGAAAACATCAATCAGGATAAAACCTACATAAAATTAAAAACTGCTTAATTTTATACTGATATAATGAATTTAATCAAAATCATTGAAGCCGTTTTCGAGAAAATTGTAAAAATGTGTTTCATCGATCATGTTAAGAGTCATTTCCGGTTAGATGAGTTTGAGGAAAAAATTGCTGTAACATCTCAGATATATACAAACCTTAAATATGCAATTTCACTTTCATACAACTTTTCGTTTTTGACCTGTCACTTACATACACACAGACACAGTCCATTTTGCAGGACTTGGTTATTTGGACTCAGGAGATCTCAAAATCCAGTTCTCAGCTCAGCAATCTTATCAGTAAAATTTTGTTCCAATTAAACATCACCTTACATGATTCTTTATACAGTCCATTAATCATTTTTACTTTGAGATTGTTCTCCACATATTTGCCATCTTGCCATTTTCCCTCAAACTCCGATGTTTTATCAAAAAATATCCGCAAATATAGACATATTAAAACATGACACATTATAATCTTTAAATGTATGCAGATATTAGTAAATATTTTGTAAGTAATGTCACAAAAAGAGGGAAAAAATAAAATGTCAGCTTCAACTTAATGCTACACAAGTTCGCTAATTAATTAATTGTAGTTGAACTATAATTACTTACTCATGATTTTCTAGGCTTAATTTTCTTTCACTTGTGACAATTCAATTTTTGATCTGTGTAGATAGATATTTTTAAAAAATACAGGACTTATGAAAACAGGAAAAAGAAAGGTATGATAAATAAAACTTCAAAATACAAATTCACATTAATTTTTAATATCATTTCTCAATCTGTTGGTACTTTTAGCGATATAAACAACCATTAACTATTTACACTTAATTAAATTCCACTTCATTAATTAATTCTGAAAAGAGTCGGTGAGAGTTTTAAATAACTAACGAGTGGCCGACGTGACCTCACTTAGACAAAGACATCCTCTAAAAAAGGAGCTTCCTAATATAATATATATATCTTTATTTTCTCTCTCACTATACTTGAATATAAGTATTAGAATAATTAAGATCTACCAGGCTGAGGCTCAAGGGACTTTTCAACTTAATCATAACTGACTCTATATAATACTATGTATACAATACATAAT